CGCTTAGGCGATCGCGTTTCTTTCGATTCATGGCTGACACGGCAGAATGTTTTCCGTAGAAGGTTGCCTTTTCTTTCTGCAGTAGACTGGTGGCCAATAAGTCTATATGAACCCGTCCGTCCCGCGATTCAATCCATAGCAGGGGAGAGAAAAGTCAGTCACGTGCCATACGGGATACACGTTTGGGCGATCGTATTTCTTTCGATTTATGGCTGACTCGGCTGAAGTTTTTCCCGTAGAAGGTTACCATTTCCTTCTGCGATAAGCTGATTACCAACGAAGGCTATAAGAGCAAGTCTGTCCTGCTCTTCAACCCATATTAGGAGGGAGAAAAGATAAAGTCAGTCACGTACCGTACGGGATACACGCTTGGGCGATCATGTTTCTTTTGATTCATGGCTGACCCGGAAGATGATTTTCCCGTAGTAAGTTGCCGTTTCTTTCTGCGGTAGAATGGTTACCAATGAAGGCTATATGAAACCGTCTATCCTGCTACTCAACCCATAGCAGGAGGGAGAAGAGATATAGATTAATCAAGTGTAACCCGTGATAAGCGCTTGGGAGATCATGTCTCTTTTGATTTAGGACTGACTATGCAGAAGATTTTCTCGCAGTAGGTTGCCGTTTCTTTTTGTGATAGACTGGTCACCAACCAAGGCTATAGGATCTAGTCTGTGCTGCTATTCAACTCATATCTGGTGGTAGAAGAGGTGGAGATCCTTCCTTATTTGAGCGTATCTACGCGTAACTGAATGTAACGAACCTGACTGGAATTCGAACACCGCTGTCCGATTTCTAATTTCGAGCCGAATTCCACCACAATACACATAGCTTAAGGTTTGGAAGAGAATTTCCCTTTGTTATAGTAGAACACACCTATTCTATAGTTAATAGACTCTCCCACCTATAATAAGTAGGGGTAGTAGAAGCAGTCGCTCAGCGAGTTGGGCAGTCAGTCGATGCCAGACGACCGGCTGAACGGTTGAACTCTCTGCCTTCGGGCGGGGAGGAACCCGAACGAGGCTACGCCGAAGGGCAGCGTCTCGTTCGGGGAGGTAAACCGACCCTGAACCTGTTTATACGGGTTCAAAGGGTATATTTTTAGCCGAGCCCACAAGCCCGGAGATCCCACGTTAAACCGGCCTTGTGCCACATGATACCCTCTTGAGTGGGTGACTAAATACTAGTCGATGTCGGACGACCGTTAGTCGGATATTAAAGTATCAGCCACCCCAACTAGATTACTGCGTCATTACCTATTATATCAAGTTCCTAACGTTTTGTACGTCGAACCTATTTTAGGACCGACTTAGTACAAATACAAGCCTCCACTGTGAAACCACTACATAGCTACCTTCTGTTTCTTTCATTAAGTTTCTTAAGCGGAAAACATATTTCTTGTTTACTTGGATCTGGACAAAACATAAGAAAGCAATGTTTTATTATATATGTTATGCTTTCTTAACTTCCAAAATAAGTTTTAAATAAATTTGGCTGATGAATCGTCTATCTGTAAATTATATTGAATCCTTTGGTTGACCTGCTGCTGAAAGCTCTGATTCCCTGTGTCGTAATAGAACTTTTTTTTATCAACCGAATCTATCTTACATATCCATGTCTCGAATGACGCTGCCTTTTATAGTTCGATGCTCCTGCTTTATATTAAGAAATTCTTGATAAAATCCAAAGATGAATCAGCAATATTATTGGTCCTTATCTAAAGTATCGGTTTTAGTCACTTTCCATCGCCATTATGTATTTTCCTTGTGTCTTTTATATAAATACGTTTAATACTTCCATGGCGACTATTTGAATAAACTCTTTATCTAAACTTTATGAATTTAAGTAAAGTATTAGATCGGGACCAAGGTCCCATTATTTTACAGTTGAAATGGCTCAAGGTAAGTTCTATGTTAACAGTTTCTTCTATCGCACTTCTTGCTTGTGGAAATCCCTTCCTGCTTTATGCATTCCAGCCAACTATGGTCTTCAAAAATTTAAAATGCAATGTCAATCGATTTCTACTGTCTTCTTGATTACTCTTCTATTGTTCTCGCTCCTTATATAATGTTTCTCTTTTTCTTATTCTGTAACTCCTTATATCTTAGTGGCTTTCAGAATGACGAGAAAACAAATTGAAATGCAATGTCAATCGTTATATTTCCTTCTTGATTACACTTCTCTTTGTTTTGCTCCTTAATAATGTTTCTCCTTTTTCTTATTCTTTCCCATTCAGTAACTCCTTTGTGTCTCAGTGGCTTTACTGCCTTGTATGGGGTGAAATGATTAGAAAACAAATTTAAATGCAATATCAATCGTTATCTACTGTCTTCTTGATTACTCTTCCATTGTTCAGCCTTAATAATGTTTCTCTTTTTCTTGTTTTTTTTAGCTCCTTTATTATTGTGTCTTTTCTGATTTCTTAGCTAATATACCCCACATATATATATATATATATATATATATATATATATATATATATAGCAGTGGCATGGCCTTTTGGCGTTGCCCGTGCTTGATTCAAAATCATACGACTCATACAGCAATCGCTATCACTTGACTTAAAATATTTTTGCCCTTCCTTGTCTTTTTTAAAGGATTCGATGTTGCAGCATGCCTTACTCCTTGCCTATCTCACACTGCGAATTTTTTATAGTTATATACTAAACATTAAATCTGGCGAAAAAAAAGAACTAAAAAACACAAAACAAGTACATGAAAACTGAATGAAAAAAGAATGTTAACAACAAAAAACACCCAACCCAGTTTGCGGAATCAGAATCAACGTTGAGTTTCAAGGGAATGGGATTGGAGTAAAGTGCCATGCAGATTTAAGTTGTGACGAAAGCTATCGATTTATTTTGCATCTAGCATGCTGTTAACATTCCTGCTAACTTGTTGGCTCGCATATGCAATAAATCTTCCTGGCCAGCTATATGAAAACTGTCCGAAGCATGAAAATTCGATTATTACCACTATCGATGGGACAAACACACACATATGCATGTAAATTCTGGTGCAAATCCGTAGAAAATTGCGATCGTGTATTCTTTGCCTTATATATATATATATATATATATATATATATATATATATATATATATATATATATCATAATTAAGTAATTCATTGCGTCTAGAAGAATCCTCAACAGAAAACACTCGTCCTAGTTGGGAGTACACCAGCAAGCGCACCCTCTACCGAGAATTGGAACCCGAACCTTTACGATATGAGGCAAACATCATACTGACTGTACCAACGGGACACGGTGACGAAGAGGTAACGAATTCGACTCGATATAGCACCGCTCTATCACATATTCCGTGGTGGAACTCATCCGGAGTTTCCCCCTTACCCTAGGACAGTGCTCCCCCCTTATATATATATATATATCGTCAGATAAATATTAATATTTTTAAAAATGGGGTTTATATAGATTTGCGTGGATAGATGAAGTTTTTTTTACTGGGTTTGGAAAATTTCCGACCACTTCCACAATCAAATAAACCCCAATTTTTTAAAACATTAATCAGTTTGTCTGACGATCGCTAGCGTGAAACCCAGGGTCACAAACTCGCATCTATAAAAAATATATATATATATATATATATATATATATATATATATATATATATATATATTTGTCTGACGATCGCTAAAGCGTGAAACCCAGGGTCACAAACTCACATCTATCCAACCAAATATGTTAGCTCTATCTCTGATATTGAGCGCTTTCTTGTATTGAGCATTTAATATATAAATAATTATACATATATATATTTATTTATATTTATATATACTTTCACACACACACAACACCACACACACACACACACACACATATGTATATATATATATATATTTGTCTGACGATCGCTAAAGCGTGAAACACAGGGTCACATACTCACATCTATCCAACCAAATATGTTCTATATCTGATATTATATATAATATATAAATAATTATATATATATTTATTTATATTTATATATATATACACACACATATATATATATATATATATATATATATATATATATATATAGTATAAAAGTAATAGTAAAAGAATATAAATTCAAAAATTCATAACATTAATTTAAAAAAGGACTCAATACAAGACTGGACACAACTCAACACCGAGTACTTTTACCCATAAATATTCTTCAGGTGCCGTGTCCGTCAGGACGTAGGCGATCACAGCTCCCAAAACTCCATATTCTTTGCCTTGTTTTCTTCCGTCTGCCTTGCTTTCAATCGGTCCTGTGATTTTCCAAGCTCTCATTCCTCATTTTGTACCCTAAAAACCTCAGATGTCTCTTCCTGATGTTAACTATAAGATCGTCGTGTTCTGCCATGGTATCCTTAGCCTCTTTCTATAGAACGACATTTCTGTTGCTTCCTGTCTCTATCTCATCTTTGAGGAGATTTTCCAGTACTCAATCCCATACAGGAGGACAGATATCACATAACATTCTAGTACTCGGTTCCTTGTTTCTAGCGAAGTTTTTCTATTTCTTAATACCCTGCTTAGGTTTTGGAAGTCATCTTTAAATATTCCAATACGCCTTCTGTTCTCTGTTAAAACACTTTAAGTATCCCTGATTTGTAATTTGTATTCTGAGAGCATCTTTTTGCTAACAAGCTACGCATTCTTACATTATTTACATTATTCGAACTGTTATTTTCATCTTCAATGCCAATTCACAATATTCCGGCTGTTTATCTCTTGACTTTATGTCTATGTCACTCTATATATCTGTCATATCTTATGATGTTATTATGATTACTTGCATTATTCGAATTGTTATCCTCATAGGATTTTTCCATATTCACAACGTTTCGTCATTCTTCAGATGATTATAGTTTTATCAAACGGAACCCTGTATTTCATCCACCGGGGTAGATTGTTCTAGTTACGGATAGATGCCTCTTCCGGATAGATCAGAGATTAATTTAGATAATTTCCCAGAATAGATAGATACATTAAAATTATAGTTTTATCAGAGATAGATAGATAGATATGATAGATAGATAGAAGGATAGATAGATATGAATAGACAGGGACAGACAGATCGATATTTTATAGACATAGATAGATAGATAAATAGATAGATAGATAGATAGATAGATAGATAGATGGAGAGAGAGAGAGATGAATAGGCATCGACAGACAGACAGATAGATAGGAATAGACCGAGATAGAAAGATCGATACATAGATAGATAAATATGAATAGACCGAGATAGATAGATAGATAGATAGATAGATAGATAGATAGAACAGATGAGATAGATGATGAACAGATCAGACAGATAGATCTATGACAAATAGATAGATAATAGATAGATAGATGGCAACAAAGAGAGAAATGTGATATACAGGTTCGAAGATAGGAATAGAGCGAGATAGACGTTCGATAACATGGGATAGAAAGATATTTTCAAACCAGTGAATAGAGGGATAGATAGATAATAGATGATTAATTTGAGGTAACTGAGATAGAACCGTTCTGAACAGACTGGAATAGATAGATATATAGATAGAGAGCAGGTCTTGATAAATGAATGATGAGACAGACAGACAATCTAGGAAGAACCGAGATAGAAATCTTGATACCATAGAGATAGATATGAATAGACCTAGATAGATAGATAGATAGATTTATAGAAAAGAGAGAGAAGATAGAATAGCGGGAATAAAATGAATGACCGACCAAGATAGATAGATAGATAGATAGATGATTTTAGATAGATAAATATGATAGAACGAGATAGATAGAGATATGAACAGACTGAGATAATAGATAGATAGATGCGAAAAGATTGGCGACCCATATAAAAAGACCGACATAAATAGATAGATAGATAGATGAGATAGATAGATGTTTTTAACATCAACGTCACGTCAAAAACTTTTTTAATTAACCGTTTCTTGGCAACAAATAGACAAATGTGATATACAGGTTCGAAGATATCCCCGGAGCGGGGGTGACGTTTCTATTGACAAACAAAGCATCTTTCAAACCATGGATGACAGAAATGGTTAATTTTAACTTCTGATTAATTATAGGGAATCTCATTTTAACCGTTCTGGCTAAGGGAATCAAGATCATATATTTCTCTCTAGAGCAGATTTTGTAAATTGTTTCACTATATATCCGCCAATCTAGTGAGAACCTAAATTATTATAATTGGTACCATAGATTTAAGTTACAGAACAATTATCATGTAAATATTTATAGAAAAAGCAAAGGGAAGATACATTTCGGCGGGGCTAAAATGATTGAAGCCAAGATGCCATTGCAGATTCTTCTTTGGATTTTATGAAAATATATTAAGCGACACTAGACCAGATATGTTATCAATATTCAAATGCCATATTCAAAGTAAGTTTTTGACGTTAAAAAATACGTCAAAAACGACCTTTCAATATTTTTGTTTCAACCTAATATAATTAAACATATATTCTGGGATTAGATATTATTGACAAACATTACATTGATTTACATTATGGATGACTGTTATGGTCATCCACATTGCCATATTCAAACATTTTCGGACTGTCATCCTATCTTCAATGCCATATTATGTTTCATGTTTCACTATATATCTGTCTATATCTCTGAGATGAGATATTATGATTACTTACATTATTTACATTATTCGGACTGTCATCCTCATCTTCAATGCCATATTCAAACCGTTTCAGCCGCTCTACGCTCCGGCCTTTATGTCTATGTTTCTCTATATATCTGTCTATATCTCTGAGATGAGATATTATGATTACTTGCATTATTTACATTATTCGGACTGTTATCCTCATCCCCATTGCCATATTCAAACCGTTTCAGCCGCTCTACGCTCCGGCCTTTATGTCTATGTTTCTCTATATATCTGTCTATATCTCTGAGATGAGATATTATGATTACTTACATTATTTACATTATTCGGACTGTTATCTCATCCCTTCAATGCCATATTCAAACCGTTTCCAGCCGTTCTACGCTCCGGCCTTTATGTCTATGTTTCTCTATATATCTGTCTATATCTCTGAGATGAGATATTATGATTACTCGCATTATTTGTGTTATTCGGACTGTTATCCTCATCTTCAATGCCATATTCACAACGTTTCGGCCGTTCTTTATATATCTGTCTATATCTCTGAGATGAGATATTATGATTACTTACATTATTTACATTATTCGGACTGTTATCCGCGTCTTCAATGCCATATTCACAATATTCCGGCCGTTCTACTCTCCGGCCTTTATGTCTATGTTTCTCTCTCTCTATATATATATATGTCTATATCACTGAGATGAGGTATTATGATTACTTACATTATTTACATTATTCGAACTGTTATCCTCATCTTCAATGCCTATTCACAATATTCCGGCTGTTCTACTCTCTTGACTTTATGTCTATGTCACTCTATATATCTGTCTATATCTCTGAGATGTGGTATTATGATTACTTACATTATTCGAATTGTTATCCTCATCTTCCTTTCCATATTCACAACGTTTCGTCATTTTTCAGATGATTGGAATTCCAAACGGAACCCTGTATTTCATCCACCGGGGTAGATTGTTCTAGTTCCACGTGCTCTGCCTCTTCCGGGTGTATCAGTTAGTTAATTTTTTGGTTCTAATTTCACCAGGTTCATTACAGACTGTAATAACTGGACTGGTATTGAACTCACAGTTCTATGGGTCTAGTCACTAGATCTAACCAACGTCTTTATCCGCTGGGGGCATCTTTATCCTTGAGGAAATCTGTGTTTGAATGTTTGGCACTTATAAACCAAATGTCTCAGCAACCATTTGTAGAGTTGAGTCAAAGGCATCCGGAAGAGGAATGGCATATGGAACTAGAACAATCTAGCTCGTGGACAAAATGAAAGGTTCGCTTCGAAATTCCAATCACCTGAAGAAGGCTGTAGCGTACTACGTCCGAAACTTAAATAATGCGAGTAATTATGATACCTCATCTCAGAGATATAGACGGGGTTCTCCCATGTTTGATTTATTGTTTTGTTCTACTATTTAAAAAATTTGCTTGTCATTAAAGAAAATATAAAGAAAATATTTTGCAGATAAAGATTGATTATCCCATAGGTCGGGGGAGAAGAAGTAGATTCATATATTTCTGCGTCAACATATGGTAGACTGGAAGAAGTTACCCATTTAGTCATTGATCACCCGTATATAAGCTAACAGCAGCTGGTATCTGAAGCGGTTGCTCATCTAGGTAAACGGTCTTTCATTTTGATGTATTAAGCCATATTGATTATAATTACACTCATTCGATTTTCTTTTGTTGATAATTAATAAATTTACCCAAACTATTAAATGATTTAAAAATTGATTTAAAAATTCAAATGCAAAATTGTAATAACGATAAAAATTTCGCAAATTATTTTATTTTTGAAGTTTTTCTTCATCTCCTTCTCTTTCAGCTTTTTCTTCTTCACTTTTTCTTTCTTCCGCACCTTCTTTTTCATCATCTTTTTTCTTTTTCACTTCTTCTTCTTCTCCTTTCCGTTCTTTTTTCTTCTTCTTCTTCTTCTTCTTCTTCTTCTTCTTCACCTTCTTTTATCCTTTTTTTTCTTCACTTCTTTCTTCATTTTTCCTTTTTTCCTCTTCTTCTTCTTCTTCTTCATCTTTTTCTTCACTTTCTTTTTTCTTCCAACTTCTTTTTATCATCTTTCTTTTTTTTTTCCGTTTCCTTCTTCTTTCTTTCAACTTTTTCATCTTCTTCTTCATCTTCTTCTTCCTCTTCTTCTTCTTCTTCTTCTTCTTTCTTCATCTTTTCTTCATTCTTTTTCTTTTTCTTCACATTCTTTCTTCTTTCTTCTTCTTTTTTCCTTTTCAGTTTCTTCCTTCTTCTTCTTTCTTCACCTCATCTTTTCCTCCTCCTTCTTCAACTTCTTCATCTTCTTCTTCATTTTTTCTTCTTCTTCTTCCTCTTCTTCTTCATTCTTTTCTTCACATTCTTTTTCTTCTTCTTCTTCTTCTTCTTCTTCTTCTTCTTCATTCTTTCTTCTTCTTTTTCCTTCTATGTGTCAGGTCCTTTTATGGCGTGTGTTTTCATAGATCTCCATCACTAACACACACACACACACACACACACACACACACACACACACACACACACATAAATAAACCGTACGTCCAGAGAATGAGGAATGAAGACTTAAATCATTTGACACCTACATGACATATCGAATGCCAAACGGCCAAGAGAGTGTAGTGTTTCTCTTACCTGAATGTGTAAATGAAAGGTGGAACGCTCTTTGGAGGTTACAACTGATAAAAAGTTGTAGAGTCCAGATCACCCACGTCCTGAATGGTCACGACACATAGAAGAAGAAATGTGTGTGCGCGCGCGCGTGTGTGTCGATGGACAGAGATATGAGAAAGCGTTCCGAAACTAATGAAAGGAGTTTTCAAATTTGTAGCAAAAGTGGAGTAACAATTTTAGAAGGACGAATGTTAGAAATGCATGCTCGGGAACACTATTCCATTGCTGCTCTTTCCAGGTCCATCTTGATCCGGGGTGGTAGCACCTGCTGGGGACCAAAACTAGGTTCAAAATATTATGAAAGTATAAAAAAAATATATTTTCATTAAAAAAAAACAAAATTACCACCAATACATTATTGGAAAAGGGAGAAAAAAATTAGCAGCAAAAGATTTTTGAAAAAAAAAATTACTAAAGCTCCCGCCAAAATTAAATTTCGGCAATAAATGACCCATAAGGATTTGATATACCGTTAAACCAAAATTCCATTTTCCGAATTAAATAAGTAAATTTAAAAAACAGAAGTGTTAAAATAAATAATTAGAATTACAAAAAAATGTTATTTTAAAAACTAAATTTCTTTCTGTTTGCGTATGCATTTGTATAGAAACGTGTGTGTCTATGTGTGAATGTGTCGATGTGCTTGTATGTCTGATTTGCATCGTTTTTTTTTTTCGTTGCTATTTTTTTTTCTTTGATTGTTTTTCTATGAAGTCAAGAGAGTATCGGGTCTAAACTAGTGAAAGTCAATTACGTGGAGGTGTTAAAGTTTATTCGCCGAGGGGAAGTCATCAGCTATGACACGATGTGATTGCTTTGCGTTTGTGGACATTTCCCCCAATTACACAGGAGTCTTGAGTTCCGTACGGGCAAAGTGACAAACAGTGAAAAGTCACATTGAAAGATGGAGTTCATTTTATTTCTTTTTTAAAGAAAAAAAAAAACCTTATTTGTCCCTCGTCTCTTTTTTTGTTTTCCATATTAATGTTACCCGCCCATTCTGGTTGCCTTTCGCTCTCTGACACTGTCTATCTCTCCATCTCTTTCTACATATAAAATAACCCTAACTCTGTCTTTCGATAATTTATAAAAATATATATATATATATATATATATATATATATATATATATATATATATATAATGTCTTTTTATAACACCCTTTTATTTATCAACCGACTTCACTCTATCATTGTATATATCTATTTTATATATATATATATATATATATATATATATATATATATATATATATATATATATATATATATATATATATATATATATATAAGTTGTTAAAAAGATACATATATATATATCTTTTTAACAACATATAAACAGCCTCTCTCTCTTTTATCTGTCAACCGAATTCACTCTATCACTCTCTCTCCCTATATATATATATATATATATATATATATATATATATATATGTATGTATGTGTGTGTGTGTGTGTGTGTGTGTACATATACATAACCCTACAGTCAACTGTTAATATGTTATCTCTCACCATGTAACAACATATCATACAGCATTTTTACAACATTCGACCACAGTATCTACAATTCTCTTTTGTTCTCGCTCA